GGAAAGTTTATAATATGTGGAAATTTAACATACCAAATCAATGGGTCAAAGAAGAAATCTCAAGAGACGTTAACAACTACCTTAAGAGGAATGGAAAGACAACCAACACCAGTGGACAGGGCCAAAAGCCCTGGGGTTTTCCAATCAAGAGAGTGGAAGTAACTTCACATAGGCCTGAGGAGAACCGGGGTGCTCAATCACCTACTGGGCCCTTTCTGTGCCAGTTCAGCTTTCAGAACCCACACATCACAGTCCTGGGGCCACTAGCACGTAAATTGGATCCTAACCTCATTCGGACCGACTAAAATGAAGGTCGTGTGTGTCCTCAATGGTTTTTCCCATAGTGGTGACATTTTAGAAGTTAAAAAACAAAGATGTAAAGGATTGAGACAGCTTCCTGGTCAGGGCATGGAATAAACAAGGCCACTGCCTGAGTGTTCAGGACCCACCAGAGGCCAGCAGCCTGGTGCACGAGAAGACCCCATGGGCACTGGAGCTAGAAGGCTGCCACCATCCCAGTAGGGATGTGCTGTAGCAGGAGGCCACAACCTCCCTGGGAAGGCCCCCTGGGCTGAGAGCTCCACACCATGGAGTCACCTGTGCTGAGGATCTTGCCGGCCACCTTCTGCAGGAAGGACGGGATCTGCTGCTGCACCACGGTGTATCGCTGGTCCCAATACTTGTCGTTGTAGTCTTCCTGAATCTTCTCCTTCCGTAGCTCATGCTCTTCCACCATGAACTCACTGGAAGCCACAGACAGATGCTCAGGCCACCATGGAGTGCCACTTCCAGAGAGATCTTACCAGGGCAAGGCGACTCGCCATAGTTACCTCTCAGCTGTGAGTTAAAATGAACCTCCAACCTCACTTTGGAGCAAGCAATGACCCTAGGTCAGAGGCAGGTGGTCCGATACCACATATCTATCCTTCCCTTAGCACAGGCCACCCAGTGTCACCAAGGGGAACCAGACACCCTCCACGGAGCCTCTAGCATCACTTGCACACAGCGAGGTAGAAGCTGGGTTCCTTGATAGGCCCACCACACCAATAGCAAAGAAAAGGGGCTGGGATGCAGTTGCGTAGAAGAGGGTGTGCTCAACATGGAAGGCCCCAGTTTTGAGCACCAAAAGAAAAAAAAAAAACACAATTCTATGTCACAAATATACTTCAAAAAGTTTTGACAAGCACATCTCAACACCACAGAACCCCTAAGGAACTGGCCCATTTTGTCCTATGAATTTGGAGGCATCATGCTGAGGAGACGCCCCCACATCAAGGTGATTATAGACTGACTCCAGGTGACCCCAAGGGCTTCACTCAGCAGAAAAAAAGCTGCAGAGCAACATCCCAGCAGCCAGATTCTCCCTGGGTGGCAGCAGATTGCACAGGGAGATGCAGGCAGGCATGGCTGCTTTGTGGAGCCCTACCTGTAAGGGTCATGGATGATGCCCCTGTAGATCCACTTCTCCAGGACCTCAAAGTAGGGCGCACTGGCCGCCTTGGTCAGGTACAGGCACAGCTCCTGCGCCTGGCTGTCCCCCGTATAGTTGAAGCTCCTGTCGTGCAGAAGGCTCAGTGTAGACCCGCCCATGCACTCGCCTCTATCCACCGAGGTGGCTGCAGAAGGAGAGAGGCTCACTGCCTAGGAAATGCCTCCTGGTCCACCCCAACCTTGCTGGACAGTGCTTCTCCCTGGGAACGCCCAGATGGTAAAGCTGTAGCTGTTAACTAAAGCTCATCAAGGAAAGCTTATAGGGCCTTCCGCATGCAGACCACTAACATGGCAAGCCACAGGCTTTGCCTCAGGACCCTACTCCAGAAAAATCAACCCTGATTGCCCTGCCCAGCCTGGGCTCCCTCCACATGTGCTATCAGGAGCCTGCCACCTGCTGCCCTCCATCAGGCAGAAACATACCAAGGGAGGCCAAGATGTCCACAGTGCGCATGGCTGGCTGGATGTAGAACCAGAGCTTCTGCAGTGACAACAGGCCCTGCCTGTGGAGCTGCTCCAGCTGAGTGATCAGAATAAGGTACTCCTTTACCAGGGTTCTCATGGCAGCCGCCAGGGCATGGTTCACCTGCCCATATTCAAAGGAAGATTTTTCTTCAATGAACCTACAGGAAAAATGCATCAAGCATCCTTGAAAAGGCAAAACTCACATTTTCAGATCTTCTAAGTCTTTCCTCATCCAGGAATCAAATGACACTCAAGCCCTCACCCCCAAAGGAACCTGTCCCAAGAGGGAGGAGGCCAGGTGGTGATTCTCAGACCCTTGCAACATGCCAGGAGCAAGACAGAGCTGCAAGCCAGGGAGGAGGTGTTTCTGCAGCAAACAGGCCTGACCTCCTTCCCATGTTGCAAACTCTCAAGCCCAGCCCACCTGGTCACGGTGGAGTAGCTGGCGGCCACAGGGAGGATTCTGTTCACCAGCTCCCGGATGGACAGGTCCAGGTTGGGGTCCACAAGGAAAGTGCGGTTCTGTCTCCCAGCCAGGGGCTGGGCAGTGATGTACCTGCCATCAACACCCACCAGCACGTAGAGCAGGTCCTCTACCACAGCTGACTCCTGGGAGGCCAATGGCAGCGTGCCTGCAGGACACAGACATGCTGGGAGCCCAGCCTCCCCAAAGACCAGTCACTCTTGCCTATCCCCTTCTTGGTAACCCCCCACACACTGATGAACACAATCAGCAAGCCACTACCCTAGCCTGGACAGGTCCCCCTGTAGCACCACGGGCAGTAGCAGGATATATGCCTGGATACTGCAGGGCTCTCCTTAAGCCAAGCAAATGAAAACTTATGCTAGACCAAGCCCAGTGACATACTCCTTAATCCCAGAAGCTTTGGAGGCTGAGGCAGGAGGATCACAATTTTAAAGATACCCTCAGTAACTTGGCAAGGCCCTAAGCAACTTAGCAAGACCCTGTATCAAAATAAGAAAATAAAAAGGGCTGGGGATGTGGCTCAGTGGTAAAATGTTCCTGAGTTCAATCCCTGGTATGAAAAAGAAAATGAAATCCTATGCAGTATTAGCTGCCTGTCACTTAGCAAGGGGAGCTCAGAGATCCTGGGCAGCCAGGTAAGCAGCCTCTACAGTCACAACTGAGAAGCCCAGGCTGTGCACAGACAAGAAAGGCCTTTAAGACAATATCTTCTTGAATTCCAAGAAACTAGCTGTTTCAAACACAGGACAAGATGGTGCAGGCACAGTGAGGTTTCCCTATGACCATCCAAGGGACCTGTAAGGATAGTCAGAGGACACCTACTGAGGCTACCTACCAGCATCTCCTGCCATCCCGAGATGCCTGCCGGTGCCTGCAGCACCTGAGGCAGCTCAGGAAGATGTTGAATGACAAACTTTGGTTTGACAAAATTTCTGTTAGCCCTGCACACTGTTGTGCAAGGCAGTATCCCATGATCACAAGATAGATACAAAAATCAGGGTGCAAATGTGATCTGTGATCATTCCCCAGCAATGCCAGACACAAGTTAGACCCACAATCTCAAGTCCCACTTCTCTCTGTTGCTCCAGTGACCCTCAGCAGAGGATGGTGGCCCAAGGCCTCACCAACTCCTTGACATGGAGTGACAAGATTCAAGGCACTGGAAAGATCTGTACACAGGGCACCTGGGGGTGGTGACAGCATGATGTGGCAAGGCCAGTCGGTTCCAGAACAGCCACAAGTGGGGTGTCCTGAGAGTATGGGGGCCCAGGTCCCTAAGGCCTGCCCGCAGCTGCACAGGCTACCTTCAAGCCACTCACCAACATACCCAGGGTCAGTGTGTAGTGTCCCTGTCACATAATATCTCCCTCCTTTGTGCAGCCCTTTCCAGAATGGGGAAATACATTTTCTTATAAGATGCCCTACAGGTTCTAAAACCATCTCTCATGCTCCTTGCCAGCACAGACAGCAGACTTCAGGTCTCACGCCTTCTTCTCTGCCTCTCCAGGGCTGCCCAGGATTCCAGTTAGGTTCTTGTGGGGTCTGGAATCTTATTTGTTAATTGCTTCATAATTTTGCAAGAACTGTGCCACTCCAGAGTCTAGGCCACAGCAAGCACTTCCTGACTCTCCTGGTTCTGCCCATGAGTCTGCCCGCCCTGTGTTGAGGACACTCAATAGGACCCCAGCTGAATTTCGGCTGTGCGTTGTCAGCTTAAGTTACAACTGAAAAGACACACGCAGGTAGATCATTTTCTATACCTTGTCACTGACTTGCAACAGGATCACATTTGCCTGGGGACAGGAGGAAAAGTGCTGGACTTCACCCACCATCCTGTGCAGGCAAGAGCGATTTCCCACTGACACCGCATGGAGCCAGGTGTGCCACTCCACACTTTCTCTTGATCCAACTGCGAGCCAACGAGAGGATGCTACAGCTATGCTACATCCTTGATTTGCAGCCTCGTTTCTCAGTCCAGAAAAAGGACTTACGAAATGCTGCATAAAACCTGTGGTGTGCCAGTACACAAGTCCCAGATCCCCAACRGCCTGTCCTGAAACAACCACACCATGTACCAGACACACGATTTTTAAGGCCTTGGAGAGAACAGTGCTAACTCAAGCACCATTGCAGAACCCAAGGTCATTACAAACCACTCTCCCGTGGTCTGTGCCAGACACCAGGACACACACTTGGGAGGAGCCAGCTGCAGCCTGCCCCACAGCTCTAGTGAGAGGGCACAAGATGAGCCAGGTGAAGACCCCAGCAAGTCAGTGTCTGCTGTGGGCAGGGACAGAATGTGGAGCATGGCCAGCCTGCCCACAATAGCATGCGAGAACAGGCATGTCACCTGTGGTCTCCTTCCCTGCCCAGCATCACCGTGCAAGCAACTCATCGTGAAATCCCCAGGTGTCAGACGGTGAAGACATGACATACCTATGGGTAAAGCCACATCTGAGCTCAAGCTGGAGCCAGTTAGGAAATCCCCGACCAGAGTTGGTCTCTCATACACCCAAGCTGGGAAGACGGGGAGCTGCTGGCCTGAATTTTTTTTGTTTTGCTTGTCTCGAAGCATCTTTCTTGTAAGTTCCAGAGACTAACAAAAACATTTTAAAAACAAAAACAGAAGATACACATCAGTGCAATGAGAACCAAGACATTTGTGGAAATGACCCATCTGTGGCAGAGAAAGAACAAACTTACACACAAAGCTTAATTATGTGGAAACGAGATATATTTCCACCTGCCACTCATGATGCAAAGGCTGGGGAGCAAGAGGTGGAAAGACCCAGTCCTCTCCCCAGGCCTTGGCCGAGGCTGAAGCACCAGCAATGGGAGCGTGGGGAGCCTGTGTTTCAGACCAGAACCCTCTGCATGGGAAGAACCCAAGTCACTTTTTCCTGGAAGTTAAGTCCAACAGGACTTGCTGGACAAAGAGGCACCAGCAAAGGGCATGCAGGGGAAGGCCCCAGGACAGATCTAGAGGCAGTATCAAGGTCAACCCTCCCAGAGGACTGGACACCAGAGGGTGGCCAGCTCATATTTGGCCAGCCAGCCTGCAGAAGGACCAACTTGGTTTGTTCCAGCAACAGGTACTCATGGGGAGAGTAGTGTGAAGGCTGTATGGTCGAGAACATAGGCTCCGCACTCGATCAGCAGACATGGCATGCCAACAGCTCTGCTCTGTCCTTAGCACATGTGCTAGGCTATATGACACATGGCAGAATGTGGCTCTAAAGAGTGGTCCGGAGCCACAGAGAAGGGTCTGCATCAGCTATCAAAAACACACCTGAGACTGAGACTCACAAGTACAGACCAGAGCAGGACAATCAAGCCAAGAGCAGCAAGCTCAGGAGAAGAAAATCCAGATGACCTACGAACACAACAGCATCAGAGCCACCGCAGGCAGACACATGATGACTGAGAGGTGCAGAGTCAGAACCACTATAGGCTTCAGGAGGGAAATCAGAGTGTGACCCATGTCCCATGAGTCTGTGGCAGGTGGCCCCCACTAGAATCTCACCACCATTCTTCACTCTTGTGATCCAGAATTCCTGACTGAAGGGCATGATCAGTCTTAGCCTCTCTAAAGTTGGATTCGTTCTTAATAGACAATAGAGACAAGCCTGCCCAGCTGGCACCCACTGCTGTTGCTACCATGGCATCTAGCAGCCATGGTGGACTTGTACCTGCTGTAGTGTGGAGCCTGTGGTCACACTGCCCAGCTGCTTCCTCAGCTCTTCAAGCTCCTGCATGGACATCTTGGAGGCTGTTGCAGGGCCGCCGAAAGTGGTAGTGCTGGTGACTGCAGCAGTGGCTGCAAGCTCAGCTCTTTCTTTTGCATTCTGCTGCAAATACTGCAGAGTCTGAAAATATGCAAAACTGTGCATTCACATTGGGCCAGCATGTGCCCCCTTGCCTGGCAGAGCAAACCCTATCCTTCCTTCCTAACCCACACTCCACTTGTAGAGGGCAGGGGACTCCCATGGCCCAACAGCCACAGTCTGCTCTCCAGAGGATCATACCTCCCAAATGTCAGAGGAAGGAATCTCACAGCCTTTTTAAAGAGCCAATACCTTCTTGTGCCCCCAAGAACAAGTTCTTCCCTACGCATCACCTGTGGTTCCTGGGCAGCAGCAACCACCTCCTCTAACCTATCCTGGCACTACTGGTCTATGAGCCCCTGGCACACCCCTCCACACAGCAACCTAGCACACCACTCACTGGCTTTGTCACCTTGATGCACGGTACATGTACTAGGCAGGAGCCCAGCACGACACACCGTAAAAAGCAAAAGCCCACCACCGCAGGGTGCTGTGCCAGTTTCTCAGGTCTATGCCCCTTGTGAGTTACTGTTCATTCTGATTCACCAAGCACACTCCACATGCCCTCAAAGTGTTCCTGGCATGGGATAGGAAAAAGTCAGTAAGAGAAGGGACAGGGTGCACAAGAAGAATACAAGAGGTGTAACCTGCATTGGCACAGGGGTTCCATGAGTGACCATGGTACATAAGACTCCTTCAGACACTCAAGGTGCGCCTGACAGGCCCTGTCAGGTGGAGCAGAGGATGCACAGGGCATTTACCTCTTTGTCTTCTGTGAACTTTGACAACAAATACACCAGAGGGTCAAGGTTCCTTGTATTTTTAGACTTCAGCTCATCGTATTTCTTTAGAAAATCTTCAGGAGTACGAGAAAATTCTGCAATTTTGACCTTAAAAACACAAGCATGAGTGATCTGATGGCAATTAAGCACCTGGGAAAATTTTTAAGAAAATTAAGCACAAGACCAAAAAGAGTTAAATTATATGGGCTAAATAATCACACACCTAAAACTAAGAAAATTGACCTAAACCTTTGATCAAACCTATCCACAATTCCTCTACAGTTTCCTCTCACTTTTTGCTTCTTAGACAAGAGCAAATAATAAGCACTTACCTTTTCCTGGTATCTCACACTTTCATTTCACACCCTGAACTCTAGTCCCCATAGGATTTATTACCATGTATGGCTCTAGGACACATTTCATCCAGTGACTTGTGTGTGCTGACGATGACTACAGAAGTTTGCGTGTCTCCCTCCACCCTACCCTATTAGCTTGTCTAACTGACTTTTATCCAAATAAGTGAAACTTCACAGTGTGTTTTAGAAACAGATTCCAAATTTAAAACCATCTTTCACTGAAAACCTTTTTAAATCATGTGTAATGTGACTGAGGAAACACCTTGAAAAATTTCAATGTGTTTAACAGCAGTAGCTTTTTACCTATAGGAATGTCCGAGCTTCTGTGAGCCCCTCCCTGGGAAACAGCAGAGTAGTACCTACGTCAGGGTTAAAGCCAGCTCACTTGGGCTTCCACTGACTCATCTACACAATGTGAAGTGACAGCAGCTGCTACCAGGAGCCAGGAGAAAGGCAGAGTGGAGTATGTCCTTGGCCCATGGGAAGCACTCAACAAGTACTGTGGCTTCCCTCATGGGAGCTGCTGTAACTGCCAGAAACAAGTACCTACCCTGACGTGCATGGCCCTGCAGCAAGGACTAGTGCTCACCTTGGCACTGTGGGCAGAGACGTTGGTTGTGATATACGGGGTCCGGTTCTTCTGCAGCAGATCGATGTAGACCTCAGCTCCATCTCCACTGTGGACACGCAACAAGCTGAGCAGCTCATTGACATCATGATGAATCCGAAATTCACTCATGGTTTCAGCTCTGAGGCATCAACATCACAAGACACACTCTCCTAAAGGAAAGAATAGTTATTCATAAAATTAACCTCTATGAAAAAATTAGAAGATCAAATTTGACCAACTTCATGCTTTGACAAAACAGATCACCTGGCCCAGCCCAGGCCCCCCGACACCATGATGCCCTCCCCCTCCCCTCCCACCTGTGCAGGCAGTTCTACTTGCCTCCTTTTCCTCAGGGAGCTGTGGCATGCTAGTTGGCCTCACTGCTTTCACCAGTGCTACACCCTTCTGACAACCCAAAGTGCTGCTCTTTCACAAGTTGGGCTTTTAGCACACTCTACCACTCGGGCAGTGCACCAGGCAGGTTGTGCGAATGGCCCTGTGGGCTCTTCTCTCCTGGGAGACTATGTGCACACTTAGCCCTAGRCCAGCAGGAAGTGGCTGTGCTGCTCCCCTTGGCTAATGCATACACAATAGTGTGAGGCACTGGGTTCAATCCTCTGCACCACATAAAAATAAATAAAACTTTTTAGTTGTCCATTTACAACTAAAAAGAATTAAAAAGTAACTATAAATTTCATATGAACAATTCAAAACACCTATGTGTGGGTTGTTAAGTTAGGATGCACAAATAGCAAAAGAACCCTTAAAGCTAATCATAATCATTTGTCTGTGAATTTTGTGAGGAAATGGTCTTGCAACAAATTTTTAAAGGTTCTGTGACCCAAAAGGTTAAAAAGTACTGCACCAACAGCTCAGACAGAAACAGCTGTTGAGTCAGACTTCAAGAACAGGAGACCCAGCACACACTCCCACAGCATGCTAATTTTGTAGGGGACATCAACTGGAACTCTGACCTCAGGGTAATGGAAAGCTTGTTAAATGAACCTCCAGCACTGGCCAAGGTAAGTGTCTCCAAGAATGAAGATGAGAGGAGGAGGCCTGAAGTGGCGCCCAAGTCCCCAGCACCTTACTTTCCAATCAAGAGGCGCTCCTGTAACCACAGTAATGGCACAGGGCCTCTCTTCCTTGGCACTGCACACAGGTACACAGAAGTCATGCTCAAAGATGAAACATTCCCCCCCAAAGCGGGGTGACCCACACCTGCAATCCCAGAGACTCAGGAGGTTGAGGCACGAGGACCGTAAGCTCAAGCCCTGGCTCAAAATCAAAGGGGTTGGGGATGGAGGTGGTAAAGCGCTCGTGGGTTCAGGCCCCAGCGCCAAAAAAGGAAGAAACAGCGGCGCCGAGAGAGTGCAGGCTCCACGCCGCCGACGAGGTGAGGTCGTCCTCCGACTTTCGTCCCCCGGCGCGGCTGTGGGCTCGGGTGGCAGCACCGCCTGGGACCTCCTGGCCCCGTGACCTGTGGTGGACGGTGGAGGAGCCGGGAGAGGCTGAGCCCGCAGGACAAGGCAGGGCCGCCGGGCAGAGTTCGGGAAGCCCCCGCCGTGCGGCCGGCGGAGGCGGGTCACAGGGGACCGCCAACTTCCCCGTCCGCTGGCCCAGCTGCAGGGCCGTTCCGGGGCCCGGGGGAGGCGGCCGCATCCTGCCGGTGCAGGCGGGCGGAGAGTGCGGCCTGAGGGGCAGGGGCAGAGGGAGGGGCAGGGGCAGGGGCAGGGGCAGAGGGAGGGGCAGGGGCAGAAGCCGCACGAACGAGCCCAGCGCCGACTCACCTCCGCCGCCGCCGCCGTAGCCGCCGCGCGCGCGCGCGCGCTGGCCGCCACAGGAAGCGCGGCTACGTCACGTCCGGCTCCGCCTGCGGATGGTGGCCGACGGGCTGCGGCGCGGCCGCGAAGGGCGATGCTGCTGCCCGCCGCGCTGCGCGCCCGCCTGGCCGGCACGCCCGGGGCGGCTGAGCCGCTGCCAGTGGAGCGGGACCCCGCGGCCGGGGCGGCGCCCTTCCGCTTTGTGGCACGCCCGGTGCGCCTCCCGCGGGAGCACGAGCTCTTCGAGGTGCGGGGGCACTGGGGCGCAGGGGCGGGGCCTGACGCTGGGGCGGGCCCCGGCCGTAACCTCGGCGCTTGTCTCCTGTAGGACGGGGACGTGCAGAGGCATCTCTACCTGCAGGATGTGCTCACGCAGGTGGCCGAGGAGCCGGAGAGGTCCAGGTGAGCGACTCCGCCCGCGCCCGGTCCCCCGCACCGCCTCGTGCAGCTGAGGGCTCAGCTCCCTCCACCGAGACCCTCCGGTGCCAGCGTTGGCACGTCTGGTGACTGCCTTCTACTCCATCTGTGGCCTGTGTAGGGAAATTTCATGTTTTAATAAGTAAGGCTTGGAGTGTGGCGCGCTGGCGCACTCCTCTAATCCCAGAGTTCAAGGCCAGCCTGGGTCATGTAGCAAGACCCTGTCTCAGTATAAAAATGAAAAGGGCTAGGGTTGTATGTATCTCAGTGGTAGAGCACCCCTGAGTTCAGTTCCCAGTACCAAAAGAACCTCAGGAGCTTTATTGGGCCTCTTACTCTGGATGAAAAGTCACACTGGGGTTTCTGCTTCAGCAAAGTGTGCCTCCTCCGTTGAGATTAGCCTCCTTTCCCAGGGTGCCTGAGTTCACCTGTCAGGTGCCCGGCTGCTGCCAGGTGTTCGCTGCCCTGGAGGACTACCAGCACCATTACAACATGCTACACGGGAATGCCTGCTCCCTCTGCAGCCGCGCCTTCCCCTCCGGACACCTGCTGGATGCCCACATTCTGGAGTGGCATGACTCCCTCTTCCAGATCCTGGCGGAGAGGCAGGACATGGTGGGTAATTATCAGGCTGGGCACACGTTGTGCTAGGGACTTGGATCAGGGAGGTGACACCCTATCTTTTGCAGTACCAGTGCTTGATTGAAGGTTGCCCAGAGAAGTTTAAGACCAGCCGAGACCGGAAGGATCACATGGTGAGGTTCCACCTGTACCCCGCGGATTTCCGGTTTGATAAGCCCAAGACAAGCAGAGGGTACGTGAGGAGTAGGGTTATTGGCCGCCCCTGGTCCTAGGAGATGTGRGAGCAGCTTGAATGGGTGGAGGCTTTTTTTGTTTGTATATACCTGCAGGTAGCTGACATTCTGACCATAGGGATCAGTACTCAAAGGGGTTACACAAATAGGGTAGCTTCCCCTCAGAGGGAAATGGCAGAGGAGTTCCTGGCCAGGAGTAGCAAAACAGGGATGTAGGAATGGCAGGCACTCCTTTCCCATACTTGCACCTGGGCTGAATCCCACATGCCCTAGTTTTCAGAGTTAGGAAGCTGCCAGCAGGGGCCTATGGAGTTCATCCAAAACCATGAGCATCCTCCCCCTTGGTAGGCTTATACTATGTGGCACCATAAAAACAGTATATTTGAAAGAAAGAGTATGATCATATTTAAATATATAAAATGCAGGGCATATTATGTGAACTGTGACCTTGCCATAAGCATTCACCCTTTTTTTTTTTTTTTTTTTTGATAGCCTGGAAATTGCACTGTAAAATTAGACTATGCCAACAGAGTAAGAATATCTTTGCAAGAAAAAAAGAGTCCTTTGCTTGAAAGTTTATTTCTGGGGGAAGCCAGGGCTGTGGGAGTTATGCTGAGCCGTGGCTGACACTCTGTCTTCTGCAGCCCAGCCACTCGGGGGTCTGATGCTGACCTGTCAACTGCAGCCCTCAGGGATGAGGGGGATGCAATGGAAGTTTGCTCCGAGCCTGCAGCAGCACCCCCAGCACCTGTAGGTGAGAAGCGGACCTACATCCACAGGTCAGTGTGGACATCTTCTTGAGACAGTAACACTGGGCAAGTGTTGGCCTCATGAGGTTGAAAACCAGAACATTCTGGTGTGTTATGTACCTTGAAGTCCAGGAATGCAAACTACCCTTTTAACTTCACTCAGTCCATGGGGGACCTTCACTTGTAATTGTTTCAGTCACAATCTGGCAGACTTGTTTTCTAGTATGGAGTTAAAACTGACTTGGAATCTGGTTTTGGGGAACATGTTAACCATGGGAAAAAAATCGCTGAAGACCCTGAACTGGCTGGAAGACGGATGTGTTTCCCTCATCTGCCTTCTCACCTTTGCCTAGACTGGCCTGTGAGTGGCCCAGACGGTAGGGGAGGTCAGGTTTCAGGGGATGGTAGGTAATGGGACATGGGCACCACAGAAAGCTGGGCCACAGCTGAGGTCTCAATGAGTGCCCATTGACTGGGAATGTCTTCCACAGGAAGCAGATCTGACTCCGGGAGCTGCCTCAGGGCCCAGGAGGGCAGACTCCACTTCCTGGATGTTGCACAGAGTGAGAGAGGGAACATTCTAGAATAAGGAGGAATAAAGAATCACACACAAGGCTGCTATTATGAGTTGGGTTGCTTGTTGGCAAAGGAAGTGCCATCACTTGATGTGACCTGTTTTCCATTCCAGAGTGCCTTCTACCATCTGTTTTGGCCAAGGTGCATCTCGAGGATTTAAAAGCACCCAGAAAAGAAACAAACACCACTGACAGATCCAGATGGGAGAAAGAACCAGGCATCTGTGTGGACAGTGCAGGAATGGGGCTCCTGCAGGGGCTGGTGGCCCTCGGGCCTCTCTCACACTTGTCATGTGGGCACCCTGGGGCTGGGCCTTTGCTTCCCTCCTTGTCTGGGTCCCTGGGTGAGTTACCAGAAGCGGCAGGGGACTTAAAGCTTCCAGAGATGACTGGGACAAATAGCAGGCTCAGGAGACAGCTCACCTCTTTCTGCAGGGACCACCCTAGGGACATTCTTTTTAAGCACATGAAATAAATATTTTTCACCAAATTCTTTACTTCTTATTTCTGTGTTGTTGAACTTATCAACTAAGAGTATTGCACTTTGAGGATTCACTGTTCAGAGAGATTTATGAGGAGCCCCTGAGAGTTGGTGAGTAGGTCAGGTACAGCAGTCCCTGATTCCTTATCTTCAAGGCCTTGAGAAGGACACCCAGATGGTCTTTGTGCCCCACCCACCCAGGAAGCTCCTCTGGGACACAGTGCTGGAGAATGGGTGCAGCAGGAAGGCACACAGGCCTGTCAAGCAGGAGAGAACGCGGCCAGGGGTGGAAAAGGCAGCTCAGGAGGTCAGAACAGGTGTGGAAGCACAGGCAGGCAGGCAGTAGCATGTCCTGGAGAAATATGATTATCCTGGGTAAAACCTGGGCTCCAGGGCCAGGCCTGGAGGCCCATCCCCACTGCCAGGCATCTGGGTGCTTCTGTGCCAGAGGTGCTAGCACAACAAGCCCTTCCCTGCCTCACCTCACCACCTGCTGTTTTCCTGGACTTGGGGCCTGACCAGAAGCAGCTGGTGGTCACTTGTGACTCCTGGTACAGAGGTGCAGCCAGGCTCCTAGCTCTCAGAGGGAATCTTGAGGATGACCTCAAATTCAGAAAACATTCCACTGGCATTCAGGCACTAAAGCAGGTGCAAGTGCTCAAGGGAAAACAGCTTGGGTGCAGTCCTGGTGTGCAGGGAGGAAACCCAGTACCCACTGTTGGGGTAGGAAGTGAGCATCCCCTGGGGGCAGATGTGGCCACTTGAGAAAACAATGCAAACCATCTCCCAACTCCCGGTGGGAGGCCTTGTCTCAGTGTGTCCACTATCCTGTGTCCTCCTTGTATGCTAGTGCTGACCAGTGCTCTCCACAGTGATGGGATTGATCCTTTCCACRGCAGCACATTCTGCCAGACCTATGTTGTCTGCAGTTTGGGTCACCAGGAGTGTGTTGCAGCCTTTGAGGACTGTCCATGCTGGGATCCTCTCCTAGATTCCTTCCTCACTAGAAAGCTATCTGTTTTTCCTGTCTCTGTTTTTCTCTTGACAAATATGGAATGCAGAACTGATGGGAAGAAGACTCCAGCATTGCAGTGAGGTCCAGGTGAGCCGCTCAGTCTCTGGGGAGACCTCCTCTCCCTGCTGCAGAGTCCCGGTGGGTTCAGGTCCAGCTGTCAAACAGAAGCACTTTCCAGAAAGAGGTCACTTGCAGGCTTCAGGATGGAATGTGCATCAGTGCTGTTTGTGGTGGAAAACTGGATCGCCACACTTGGGTTTCGGTGACATATCTGTGTTTTCTTGCTGGGGGATCAGGACCTGCTGGGGTGATGTTTCTTTCTAATTAGTGTGTGGAGCCTTGGTCTTCTCTTTGCTTTTACATGGAAAGCACCTTTCACATGGGAAACACCTTGGCCCCTAATCAGGTGTGGCAGCCATCCTCAATCCTGTGGTGCACAGTCTGCTTAGGCTCTTGGCCTCACTTTTTCTTTCCTTTTTATATCTTATTTTGGACAGAATGGGCTTTTCTCCCTCTGTCATTTTGGGGAGTTAGGCACCTTCTAGCTAATTATTTTAGTAGATGCCTTGACATTTTTAACATAAACTCTGTTGGGCTCCAAGATTAATTGACATCTCCTTTCCCCCAACACTCAGGGACTGTGGACACTAAACCCAGCCCCAGCTCTCTGCTCACGCTGTGTCACAGACATTTCATTTCTAGATCCTTTTGCTAATCCCGTGGCATGTCACTACCGTGGCTCAGGGCCAACGTGCAGTGAATCTGCCATAGTGGCCGCTCCTGGCTAAGCAGTCCTTGCCTCTCCCAGCTTACAAGAGATCATTCTCTTCATTGCCTTAAGCAACCTTGGAGTCTCCTTTAGTGAATCTGTGCTTGTACAGTTTTCATTCTGTTTGCCTGAAAATGCTTCTCTATCCTTGTCTTGTTGCTGGGAACAGCAGACCTGGTGCCTCCCCT